CCCCACCCCCAAGGCTGGGGTTCAGACTTCACTGTATGCCGCCCACTGGGTGGGTGGTGAAGTTCACTGATTAGCCCAGGCCAGAGCTGGTTCGCAGTTGCCAGGCAAGAAACAACCCTCCAGGCCAAAAGCAAGCTAAGGCTGGTGGGCAGGTGCTCAGAGCACATGCGGACACCACCTGCCCAGAGCATACAGCACCCGCATTGGGAGGCCCCTAGGAAACAATCTTCCAGGTCACAGGTGAGCCCCGGCTGTCAGACAGATGCATCAAAAGAGCTGGAGTGCTCCATGTGCTTGGAGTGCACGGCGTCCACACAGGGTATGGAGGATGGGAATCAACCCTCTGGGATGCACAAGAACTCAGATTGATGAGCAGACGCGCAGAGGAAGTTGGGGGCACAGCCTTGGGCGTACGTTGTCCATGCCTGCAGGGCTTTGGGGAAAACCATCCGTGGCATAGGTAAGCCAAGACTAGGGGGCAGGTGCACAGAGTTAGGGAGCTGCCCCGGGCGGAGGGCCTGGAGTAAGCGGCAACCATCACAGGGAGTCCACAGCAAGTGGGTCACGGGGACACTAGACCAGATCGGCAAAGTTGCCAAGGGAGTGCCAGCTTTGGGCGTGCAGCTGGAGCAGAGCACCAGCAGATCTCCCAAGGCATGCCCTGCTGATGGACAACGGAGCAAAGCCCCTAGTTGGAGTGCACTGGAACCAGAAGACAAGCCCTTTCCTTCCTGCAATGTCCTTCTAGCGTCCTCTGCTGACAAGGCCTAAAATTGTACTCACTGTAGGGAGAAATGCTTCGAGTCCAGTTATTATCGCTTAACAGACACTGAAGGGTAAATAATGAAGCTGAGAGGCAAAAAACAGGTAACTGGCAGAGACCATTCTTCCGGCTACCCACTACTGTCATATGCACTCTTTACACAAACTTTGAACTCCCTTAGTAGCTACATTCCTACTAACAAGATATCTCCTCTATAAAAGTGAAGTTCTCAGCCTTCCCCCAAATAAGACATACAGTCCAAACAGTCGCTGTATCCATAGCTGGTTAGATTACTCCACAAATTTGTCATGATCCCATTAAACAGTCTATTACCTAAAAACTAGATTGTAAAGTTGACCTCCAACAATTTGTACATAAAATAACAAAGGGAGGCAAAAAGAAGACATGGTCAGTACATACAAATAAACCCATGCATGTAACAAGCAAAGAAGAACATGCATTGCTACTACAGTCCTCGTTTTTGTAATTGATCATTTTTGTAACTAATCATGGTCATAGTTGACCTCCATGGTTTCCTTAGAAAAATCCGAAGGCTGCACACTGGAACCCGGACGAGAGCCTCTTTGTTTCTGCAATAGCCCTCTAGTGCCCTCTGCTGACAAAGCTTAACACTGTACTCACTTTAAGGGATAAATGCTTAGCGTCCACCCGGTTATCATGGAACAGCACAGGTACTGAGAGTGAATCTGGAGCTGAGGCAATGTGTTGATAGCTGCCATACTAGGAAACCACTAAATATTCAGAAATTAAATAAGGCTGGGCATGGTGGCTCACGCCTGTAATCCCAGCATTTTGGGAGGCCGACATTGGGGGATCACTTGAGCCCAGGAATTCCAGACCAGCTTGGGCAACATGGCAAAACCCTATCTCTACTAAAAATACAAAAATTAGCTGGGCATGGTGGCACGCGCCTGTAGCTCCAGCTACTCGGGAGGTTGATGCATGAGAACAGCTTGAGCCTGCAAGGCAGAGGTGGCAGTGAGCCGAGATCGCGCCACTGCGCTGCAGCGTGGGTGACAGAGACTCTGTCTTAAAATAAATAAAATAAAATAATAAGTAAAACAAAATACACTTATAAATAACCCATGGGTCGAAGAAGAAATCATAAGGGAAATTAGAAAACACTTTGAAGCCGGCTGGGCGCAGTGGCTCACGCCTGTTATCCCAGCACTTTGGGAGGCTGAGGCGGGTAAATCACTTGAGGTCAGGAGTTCGAGATCAGCCTGGGCAACATGGTAAAACCTCATCTCCACTAAAAATGCAAAAATTATCCGGGTGTGGTGGCACACACCTGCAATCTCAGCTACTCGGGAGGCTGAGACAGGAGAATTGCTTTGAACCTGGGAGGTGGAAGCTGCTGTGAGCTGAGATCGCACCACTGCACTCCAGCCTGGGCAAGAGTGAGACTCTGTCTCAAAAAACAAAAACAAAAACAAAACAAAAAACATAAAGTAAGAAGAAAGAAATTATAAAGAGTAAAATCTGTAAAATTGAAAACAAATATACAATGAAGAAAAAGAAAGTCAAAAGCTGTTTTTTAAAAAATTAATAAGGCCAGCATGGTGGCTCACACCTGTAATCCCAGCACTTTGGGAGGCTGAGGAGAGTGGATCATGAGGTCAGGAGTTCGAGACCAGCCTGACCAACATGGTGAAACCCCATCTCTACTAAAAATACAAAAATTAGCCAGGTGCAGTGGCGGACGCCTGTAATCCTAGCTACTTGGGAGGCTGAGGCAGGAGAATGGCATGAATCCGGGAGGCAGAGCTTGCAGTGAGCCAAGATTGCGCCACTGCACTCCAGCCTGGGCGACAGAGTGAGACTCCATCTCATAATAATAATAATAATAAACCAGGCATGGTGGCTCATGCCTGTAATCCTAGCACTTTGGGAGGTCGAGGCAGGTGGACTGCCTGAGCTCACGAGTTCGAGACCAGCCTGGGCAACATGACAAAACCCCGTCTCTACTGAAAAAAGCCAGATGTGGTGGTGCATGCCTGTAGTCCCAGCTACTTGGGAGGCTGAGGCACGAGAATTACTTGAGCCCAGGAGGCAGAGGTTGCAGTGAGCCAAGATCATGCCACTGCACTGCAGCCTGGGCGATACAGTGAGATCCTGTCTCATGAAAAAATAATAAAAAAACAAAAATAAAACATTAATAAAATTGATAAACACCTATCAAAACTATTGAAGAAAAAATATGAAAGAAAAGGGACATCACTGCAGTTCTTACATCCATTAAGTAATATTTAAGGACTGCCTGGTGACTTTTCTAATTTTTAAAAATTAATTAGTTATTATTATTTTTTAGACAGAGTCTCACTCTGTTGCCCAGGCTGGAGTAGTGCAGTGGCATGATCTTGGCTCACTGCAACATCTGCCTCCCGGGTTCAAGCGATTCTCCTGCCTCAGCCTCCTGAGTATCTGGGACTACAGGCAGGCGCCACCACACCCAGCTAATTTTTTTGTATTTTTAGCAGAAACAGGGTTTCACCATGTTGGTCGAACTCCTAACCTCAAGTGATCTGCCCGCCTTGGCCTCCCAAAGTGCTGGGATTACAGGTGTAAGCCACTGTGCCCGGCCTGACTAGTGACTTATAATACAGAAAAAAGAAAAAAAAGAATTGAGGAATGTTATGAAAACCTTCACGCCAATACAGCTGGAAATTTATACAAAATGATTTACTCAAACTTTACTCAAGGTTTACCCAAACACAAATTCACGCAAACCTTGCTGGAGAAGTAGAAAATCTGACTGCTCTTATATATAGTACAGGGATTTCATTATTTTAAACTTTCCCCCCACCAAAAATTTTAGGTTTAGATGGCTTCATCAGTGTATTCTTTCAAATATTTGAAGAAGAAATATTACCTAGCTTCTACTATCTCTTCCAGAGAATAGAAAAAGAAGAAACACCTCTTGCTTTGTTTGATGAAGGCACCTTAACCTGGATACCCACCCTTGAGCAGGTCCTTGACAAAGAAAGTTAAATTACAGACCAATCTCTCTCATGAACATATGTAAAACCTGAACAAAATTAGCGAGTGAAATCCAGTGACATATAAAAAGGATAACACATCTTTGTCGGGGGTCTCCAAGATCATGCCCAGGTTGGATGATTTGCTATGAGGACTTACGGGACCCAGCATACAGGTATACTCAGGCCTCTGATCTATTACAGTGAAATACAAAGCAAGGTCAACAAAGGGAAAAGGTACATGGGGCGCAATCGAGGAGAAACCAGCAGCACGCTTCCAAGAGGCCTCTCCCGGGGGAATCACACAAGACATTCATCATTCCTGCAGCAACAAATTCTGATAACATATGTGCAATGTTGTCTGCCAGGAAAGCTCACTTAAGACTCAGTGTCCAAGCTGGGGTTTTTTGTTTTGTTTTGTTTTGTTTTTGAGACAGTTATGGTTCACTGCAGCCTCTTTCCTCTACCACTTGGGCTCAAGCAATCTTCCTGCCTCAGCCTCCGAAGTAACTGGGACTACAGGTGTGCACCACCATGCCTGGCTAAATTTTTTTTGTTGTTTGGGTAGAGACAGGGTCTCACTATATTGTCTAGGCTGGTCTTGAACTCCTGAGCTCAACTGATCCTCCTGCCTCAGCTTCCCAAAGTGCTGGGATTACAGGCATGAGCCACTGGACCCAGCCCCCAAGGTTTTTATTGGGAGCTGATCATGAAGGCACCCTCTGCCTAACACGTCTCAAAACGCCAGACTCTGAGAAGGAGAACAGGTATTTAGCATAAGCCACATTGTTTGTGCAGTTTAGGCACTGTGAGCCACTTTAAATTGGTGGGAACACTCCCAAAAGCCAAATTCCCTTACACCAGGCAAGGCTCAACCTTGCAGTTAGGCCTCTCCAAAGACAGCAGCCTCAGGTCTGCTATGTTAAGTTTTTTTCTGTACAGTATCATAAGCAAATGGGTTTTTAAAATTTTTTCCAGGAAGACATGGTTGGTCATACCTCTGAAAACCAATGTAATTCATATCAGCAGAATAAAGGAGAAAAATCATATAGTCCTCTCAATAGATTAAGAGAACACACTTGGCCGGGCGCGGTGGCTCAAGCCTGTAATCCCAGCACTTTGGGAGGCCGAGACGGGCGGATCACGAGGTCAGGAGATCGAGACCATCCTGTCTAAGCCGGTGAAACCCCGTCTCTACTAAAAAAAATACAAAAAACTAGCCGGGCGCGGTGGCGGGCTCCTGCAGACGACGGCGTCGTGGGCGGTCACTGTTTTCCCTTAGGTCTGGAGAGGGGACATCCGAGCGAGGGCCACTTGCGGCCTGGCCTGAGCTCGTCCCGCTCCGGGTGACCACAGAGTGCCGCGGGCGGGCAGAGGGGCCGGAAACCCCGGCCGCTCAGTCCCTGTTTCCGGCAGCGCCGCGCTGCTCCGGGAGCCGCTGTGGCAGCGTACGCAGTTTCCACGGGGACTGAAGATGGCGCCGCGAGGTGAGATTCCGGAGGTGTGTGAGTCGCTGGTCCCTTTCCCTTTGATCCCTCCCTCGCACCTCTATCCCAGAGCTTGACCTAAACCCTCCATTCTGTAGCGTTAGGGACATCGCGCCTCCCTGGTCCAAAGCGGGCTTCCGCGGACCCGCCCACCCTGGGTCCCTGAAGGTTTCAAGGTGCGTGGCTCAAATAGCCGCAGATCCTTGGCTGGGCCACTTCTAGGATGGCTCAGGTACGAATCTGTTGGTCTCCACGCCCCAACTTCCCCTCCCAAATAGTGACAGGGTGAGATCTTTGAGATGTCTGTCAGCTGCGAGTTACCTTTTGACTTTTACTCCTGAAGCCGAAGAGTCGAGTTTCGCGGTGATTCCTGGGAAACGAGGGAAGCCCCCTCCACATCCACCCCGTACCCTCGACCCTCATTATCAGCAACCAGAAGTGCCCCTGGGTGGCCGGTCCCATTAGTTGCGGCGTCTGGTTTCCCTAGTTAGACACCAACCCATAGGAGCAGAGGGGGAGCTGCCTTCCTGCCCATCCCACTTTTCTGTGCTGCTGTTTCAGGTAAACGGTTGTCCTCCACCCCGCTGGAAATCCTGTTCTTTCTGAACGCGTGGTATAATGCTACCTATTTCTTGCTGGAACTTTTCATATTTCTGTATAAAGGTAAGGAAGGCATGGGGCTTGACGACAGCACCCCTTCCCCACTTCAGCTCAGAGCCAACTCCGACCAAGAACCTTCTTATTTTCCGCTCTTTTCTGCCCCCTGCGGTTCTTTGTCGCTGCAAGGCAGGCCTCCTCATCAGATGGCTTCTTTGAGTATGATTCCATAGGCATCCCCTCGGCAAGAATTTCTTAAGTTTGGGAAATGTGGGCTTCTCCATTCTGACTCTGCCCACATCACTGGTCTTTGCTGTAAGCCCATTGATGACCCTTAGAAACTATTCAGTGGCCCGTGTACCCATGTGCATCCACTCATTCTGGAGAGAGGAGTCCCCAGAGTCTTTTGGAGTTAGGAGTAAAATGGCATAATAATGAGCCTGGGTCGCACTGTGAGTTTATGTATCCTGCAGCTGTAATAATGCCCACATTTCACTAACTAGCTCATGGAAAGCTGAGACTGATGTCCTTGAGACTGATGTCTCAAGTGTGTGGCAGTTCTTGTGGATGCTGTTTTATGCTATTTGCAAACTCTGGCTTTTGTATTCGCAGGTGTTCTGCTACCATATCCAACAGCTAACCTAGTACTGGATGTGGTGATGCTCCTCCTTTATCTTGGAATTGAAGTAATTCGCCTGTTTTTTGGTAAGTGTTGTCCAGAGAATACTTCCACTCTTTATGAGACAAGCTGGTATCTGTAACTTGATTAACAAGAAAAGTACATCACCTAGGTTGACTATCAGAGACTGGATCTGTATATCCCATTACTCCCTCTCTGAAGTTTCAAGTTGCTGCTTCATACATTGGGTCAGGATTTACCTGTTTGTTGCTCTGTAAGGCTAGAGATGGGCAATAGAATGGGATATTAGATGATTCCTTCCCAGCTGCCTAACAGCAAAAGGAGTGCCTGGTTCTTCTCACTAGTATTCTTGGGGGAGCAGGTTCAGTTGTAACTCCATGTCAGGGCAGGCAGCGTATCCTGCACAGATCAGTACTAAGATCCCTAACAATTCTCTGAATAAGGATCTTTGTAGGATTTTTTTTTTTTTTTTTTTTTTTTT